GCTATGCCCAGATGTCTTGATTTCGCTCCCTTTGATAGATTTGATTGAATCTCGTATATTACTTTGAAGGATTTTTTGAAAGGCGCTGAATGTCCTGAATTGACCAGATGTTCTGTCACTGAACTGTATACACGTTTTTGGTCTCCTCTTACTAACCAGGCTGGGTAGTGTTCACGAGCGCGTTTTTCAAGTGGGCGCATGGTACGGCCGATGTACTCAGCTCCACAAGAGCAAGTAAACTCGAACTTATTGGAGATTATTATGTATCATTACTAGGCAATAAGTAAACCACACGTTTGAAACTGAAATTAAGAAAAGGCTTAGTATGATTGATTCTTCGGCATACCTGTTGCATTGATCATGAACAATTTACCTGATCCAAAAGTTATATCTTCTTTCTTCCTATTCAGTTAAACATTCTGGTTTAGTGTCGTCTTTGGAATATTATTTCACGGAATTTCTTTATTCGTATCATAAAGTAAAACTTAAATCTTTAATTTGCTGAAATACATTCGTAGGTACTACTATTAATACATTTAATCCTGCGCCAAAGATATAGTGGGAATATGTGGATGACACTTCCACTGTGTTAAAAACAGACCATATCTCTAGTTTCTTCACACACACGCACATAAACTCACTAGTAAAGGGTATAGAAATTCACATTCGAATCAGAAAATGAACAAAGAGAATTAGCTATGATGTTAGATTATAAAATAAAACGAACAGAAGAAAGTAAACTGTACACTAGCGTTTATAAAAAGCCAACGCATTCTAACAGGTAGAATAGACTTTAATTCATCTCATCCGTTATCTCTGAAGGCAGGCTCAGTTAAATGTCTAACAAACCGAGCGATAGCTCTAAATAGTACAGTAAAAAAAAAACTAAATGGTGCAATGAAACAGCCATAAGAAGCGTTGGCATCAGATAAGCATCCTATAAAATTCATTACGAAGATTATAAAAGGTCAAAAGCAAAATAAAAATAATGGTGAAACTAATAATGATAACATAAATAAAAAAGAATATAAAGGCACCTACAGTTTTATCATATAAGGAGGGGACATCTGAGACCCTACAGAGGATAATCAATAAAGCAGGAGTTAGGGTAGTATTTTAAACTACAAATTCCCTCAGAGACAAGCTCTGTAGGCTAAAAGACCCGGTGGAGTCGCCGACCATGCACATGGTCTGGGGTTCGATCCCTGGCCGACGAACTCCTTTGCCTCGCTAAGCCAGAAATAATGCTGGTTAAGAGGAAAGGTTGGGCATGAGGCTAGCGACCCCATCCTGCAAAATAAACACTGTTACATAAACTTCAAGTCACTAGCTTGAAGCCCCATGTTCCACTGGGGACGTGAAAGGAATAAAAACCTTGCAATGGCTGTGAGTGAGGTCAACTACTTAGGTCAAACTAGTAGATCAAGAGTAGTGAGATTATCAGCACATAAGAATTTAGCTAAGGTTAGAATGATTGATCTCACGAAGATGAGTAATTTAGAAAAAAAACTCAGCAATTGCACTGCATGCATTAACACACAACCACACAATAGGGTGGGACAGAGTCCAAACTCTAAAAAGTAATATAGGTAGGCGGAGAGCGTGAGGGATTGATTACTGAATTCTGCCTGGTTCATTGAGTCTACACCCAACACATGCAATAGAAATGACTCAACGCAAATATCAGAGGTATGGAGGATATTACTAACAGTCAAGTCGGAAAATAATAGATAATGTTAAAATGTATTCAATTCATATTCTAACATCCTAACAAGTTATTTATTTTTACTATAAGAACGTCGTATTTTTCTTCTTATTGTACTTTTTGATAACACTATTATTATTTCCAAATGTATTTTATCTTATATTGATTTAATTCAAATATCTAATCAATTTTTATTCGTGTATATGAAGGAAGTGAGAAAGTTGTGTGGGTGACTTGATATGATTATGAGCAATAATTTGTGCTCGAATCGTGATCATCAGTAAATATTACTTACTGTATAACAGTGTGATTTTATCGAAATAAAATTTTACCCATAATGAGATTATACCCCACCACAGTGCCCAATTTTTATCCTTACAGAAAGCTGATTTACAAACAAAGCTAAATTTACTCATTGGTGAAATTCGGTGAAAGGCTATAAAGAAAAATCTGAGGTTAATATATATTAGTATGGTACGCCGGTGATTGGTTGACCTAAGTAGTCGGTTTTCAACCGATGGTTTACAGACTCGAGTCCCACTCCTCTTGCCTCAGCTTGAGTAAAACTGGTTAGTATCGTCAGCCCTCATACGATAAGTGTAGCTCAGTTTGGTACATGAGAAATCTGTTCCAGATAATTGAGCTTAAGCAAACATACAGGTAGTGAACAGTTGGGAAAGGTAACAGTAACAGACTGACTGATTTATTCCTGTGGAATTTTGCACAAACGTATATTTGCTGATGGTGGCACACCGGAGTAGCACCTACTGAAGTAGGAAAAAAGGAATGTAATGAAGATGTTTGGGAGAAATAAATGAGTGAATTGATTTTCCGTAGTATCTAGATGATAAGAAGCGAGTATGTCTGCGCTATTGAGAACGGCTTTTTACCATGTGACTAAATATTTATTCGTAGGACCCCAGTTAGTCTCTCCAACGCAACAGTCTAAGAAATCCATGGATTGATACGAATATTTCTGGTCTCACCAATTATAACCATTTTCCAGTCGAAGCTTCGACTGACGTAGCTTGTCAAAGGATTTAGAGACTTGGTATTCATGACACAAGTCCTAGCCATTATGAATCAATATAGCTACATCGACTGACTTCCCCTTGATGCCAAGCGTCGGTGGCACAGTGGTTGGGACTCTCGCCGACCATGCATATGGTCCGAGGTTCGATCCCTTGCCGACACACACCTGATATCAATGGTCGGCCTGCAGAATTTGGGCTACCGATATCACATGCTGAAAATTCCATACTTGTACCAAAAATACAGTGTGAAATCAAGCTGTAATAAAAAATAATTTCAGGATTGTTAGTTGTACGGCTTCATTTGAAAAGAGAAATGGAACGAAAGAATTTGTTGTGGTCAGTCTACTCTTTTCAACAGCTATACCTGACGGCAGTAAAGTAAGTAAGATAGAGGAAACTTTCGCGCAGAACACAGGTGTTGTTTGATGAATATCTGGATATTGCATAAATCTTGAACATGACGCAGTTAGCAAAACCAGACAATTCTTTTCTATCTTAGCTTAGACACTGTCAGCAACTGAGATGCATTAGCACTGATTCAACTTCTCAAATAATTGAAGTGGTTAATGTATCTAACCGTTTCACTGTTTATTCCGAAACCAGCAGTGGATGTAAGCTAGTTTTATAGTATCATCTTGAAATCGGTAGGGTCGAATCGCATGCCAAACACAATTAGGATTTCTGCTGGAGTCGCTCAGATAACTATGTTTTCGCAAATTCTTCACCTAAATTGAAAATATTTCCTGCGTAGACTTGATACTAGCAGTTCAACATAGGTCACTACATCTACTGAAGAATAATGACAGTGAAGAACACTGCTGGTTGTCATATCTTCAGATGACAAGCATTCATAAGCTCTTAACCGACTCGGTTGGTTCGAGTAGAGCAGATAGCAACAAATTCATTTGCATTGTTTAGTCACAAGGGAGTAACCAGTGTGATTACCTAATTCTTAGTGTTGCTGGATGGTTTATACTAGCGAGTGACCCATAGAACTTGATCAGTACCCTGAATTGGACGAAAAGACAAGTTTCTCCTACATGGTCATTTTATAAATTCGTAAATATCAGATTAAGAAAATCCTCTGAGTTAGCGATTGTTTACAATAGTCTTTTCTTCAGGTTCTATAGTTATAAATCCAAGAATATAGCAGCCAGTAAAGGCAAATCAAAATTATATCAGGAACCGTATTGGGTTACAAATATAAGATGGCATAAATAGTTCGTTAGTTTGAATTGAATGCAGATAAAACGCAGTCATCCTGAACGTTCTCAATATTCTAGCTGTTATTTTTTTATATATGGTAGGATGAATTTTCTTGCAGTCTTTGGTGTTGTGACTCGATTTTAAACACTTGTTGGTGAAATTATAAGGATATTCATTCTTTTTGAAGACGGTTAATGGGTATTTTCTCTCCGTTCTCTTTAACACCAGAGTAGTGCTACAGTGTGTTTGAACTCTTTTAAACAATATCTGCGCACACAGTTCCTTTTGTGGGTGGTTGGATTTTTGTTATCATAATTAAGTATTTGATCTGTGCGCGTTAATTTTCTACACACCTGTGCTTCTAAACTTCCTGTGTTAGTTCTCTACATAAAACATCTAAGACGCTAAAAGATAAAGAGGAAAGTCATTAAATGGAGATATACAATGACTAATCATAGCCTTATTGTGTTCTAACAAATTCAGTCGTTGAAATTTGTATTTCTTGTTGGTTTGGTTTTATTGAACCGAGATAGTCAACCCATGTTGTCTGCTAGCACAAACGCTTCGACAAGAACTGATGTCGTTTGTCTGGTGGTGGGTTCGAATCCCAGTGACAACACTATCATTGACCTCGGGGACGTTGGTACATTCAGCTAGTGATTCCCATACAGGATGAGACATGGACATCTTGGATTCCACTGTTAGTAATCACAAACTAAATAACATCGACCTTCCAGCAGGAAGTAGTCTCTGTAATCTTAGGATCCAAGTAGGTGAAGAGAAGCTGTGAAATAAAATCAGCTTCCTTTATCCCGCTTGTTAAGCAAGAGTATTAATTTCGTGGTGTAAAAGCATAAATATCAGCCAAATGCATTTGTTTATTTCATACAGTACTAGAATTTACAATAAAATTATAACAAAAAAACTGACTAATATTTCTAATAGGAAACTGGAAATTAGTTATTTACACAACTGACTGTTCATGACATTGGTTTATGGTACAAATCGAGTGTCTTTATTCTGCCCTATGTATTACTTATCAACGTAGCCGAAAATCAAGACAGTATTTTCATTTGCTCACTAGGTGCGTGTGTTTCATCACCTTGAACATCCGTCCTGTCGACAACTGTTCTGACAACCTTTAACCATTTTAATCGTTGTGCAAATTCAATATCATCACTTGATGATTTCACTGAAATTGATTGTTCCAAAATGTCTAGAATTGGCCTTAACAGTTTTCTTTCATCTGCATCACAATCTAGGAATTTATCACTGCTTTTAGCTAACTGTTGTATAACATTCCACATAAAATCTCTATAAAATACAAAATATGAAAGAGAAAAAATAAATAAATAAACGGAATCAAGTTACAAGTCAGCTGATGCACTTTGAGTATGAACAACAAAAATTTAAAAGTATGACAATAAGGCAGAAATAAAGTCTATTCGTGCGTAGGTGGCACAGTGGTTAGGACTCTCGCCGACCATGCACATAGTTCGAGGTTCGATCCTCTGCCGATGCACACCTGATATCTATGGTCGGCCTGCTAAATTTGGGCTACCGATATCACATGCTGAAAATTCCATACTTGTACCGCAAATACGGTGTGGAATCAAGCTGTAATAAAAAAAATATTCGTACATTTGTATACTGTTTCATCTCGTGGATACAGAACACGAAGCTGGTGTAAACAAGGTCTTCAAAGTCATCTACTGTATGCCGACGAAGCTTAATTTCACACTAAGAGTTCGGCTATTACATATTGCTGAGGCTGGCTGGCTGTCGGAATCCACATTAGGAAGCCTGATCTATATATCCAACAGAAATTGGTTCAAACACTTCCCCTACCTAAGGCCATCAAGCTTTCAATGATCTTTAATTTGTTATAGAAACATCCTTATTTTTTTTATATTCTGTTTACTATTACATTTTTATGCTTATTATAACTTTAGCGTGTCTTCCTTGAACTGCAATTTTATTGATCTAAACAAATCGATAGTATTTAGAAAACCCCAAAATTGTTGGTCATGATTATTATTCTAGAATTATGTTCTTGTTATTATTCCATTGGGTTCCGAGTGGCATACAGGGCTTCAACAACACATCTCCACTTTGTTCTATTTTCTGCCGTTCTCTTCATCTGGGCCCACGATTTTCCATAATCTCATCTTGTCCTCGTCAAACGATTTCTTCCATGTCACCCTCACACCGACGATCCACTCGTCGTTTCCCACTGGAATTTCACTCCAGAGGTGGCCTGCACTACGCGCGATGTCATTCGACGATCTCCTCAACGTAAACCCTAACCCATCTCTATTTTCTCTGATACATTTGTTCAGCGATCGGCCCTTGTTTGGTTTGTTTCCAGCCAGAGTTTCTTGTTACTAATTCTTTTTGGCCATTTGATCTTCAGTATGGAGTCATCGAAAGCAGCTGTCGACAAAAGTCTGCAACCTGTTGGAAATACTTTTCGTGACACGCTGGTCAAATATCTGACCTATATAGAAGGACCGACTTGACATTACTCTTGAAAATCCGAATCTTGTTCTTTATGCTCTCTGAGTGCAGAAGATTTCCAAACTAGTTTCAGCCTGATGAAGGTATATCTTGCCTTACCCATTGTGGTCAGATTTGACATCTTCATCCGTTCCGCCTGTCATTGAAACGATGCTTCCTAGACAAGTGACGGAGGTGACTTTTGTTGAATTTCTCCCGTTGATGGTGATCGGTGTTCGTTGTTGTTGTTTCGGTTCGTTGGTTGCTTATCTTCATTATTTCCATCTACTCTCTGTTCACTTGGAGTCCTGTCTTCGCAGTCAGTTTATTGGTTTTCACCTCTAAGTCTTTGAGTTTATGTGACATTAGACATCTGTCATCTGAGAAATCCACATTTCCTAGAGTCAATTACTACAGGTATTTAACAACTGTCATGGATTAATAAAATTCACACTTGAAAAGAAAAACCGAAGTATGAATAAACTTACGTTTGCAAAAATTCATCTTCTTTCCATAAAATTGACAATGCTTTTGGTGCCCATTCCCATGATATTAAATGATTTTTCTCAGCATAACTAAACCATTCATGTAGTGTATCAATTAATTTTGTCTTTTGTATTAATCGATCTTCTTGTATACCTTTATCATTACTACTATTATTTTCATATACCGAGGCAAATGTTTCAATAATTGGAAAAGCCAGTCTTACACTATTGCCTAGATTCATTTTTACAAGCTGTTTATAATTCTTTACAGCTGATCGATCTATGCGTGCTCCTGTACTATCATATGAAACTGAAGAATCGCTTTTTGTATTTGTATTTGTTGACTTTAGAAAATCATTATCCAGCTTTTGAAAAATATGTAATACTTTTGTGGATGTATTTAATGCATCCACTGGATTCAATGTAGCATAATCGCATAGAAGGTTTGTCAAGTGTTCAACAGTATCTAATGACTTTTGTAGATAATAGTGAATTTCAATGCTCAATATATCATCTAATAGTCTACATAAATAACTATATACAGTTGCTTTTAATGCATTAATTTCTTGTAGTTGATTTGGTGTGGGCAATTTCTTTTGTTGATTTTTCTTAGTATTATTATTATTATCAACATCATTGAATAATTTTAACATATTTGTATAACGTTTGATTAAATATTCAACTAACAGCTTTGATGAAATGATAACATTAAAGTATTGACAATAAGTATTATAATAACGTTGAACTAAATGACTATTAGGCTTTTGTTCATATTTTTCATAATAAAACATTAGTTTACAATAATCATGTGTATAATGATATTTCATTTTACTACTTGAGAATAAAAATGTTCTATCTTCATAATGCGTTAATAACTGATGAATACGTTCGCCTAATTCAATATTCACTTCATTCAATGCACATTTCATTGCTATTGGAAAAAATGTGTAATCATCAATAGTCCATGCATCGAAACGTTTCGGTGAACTACCGCAATTAGTGTCGGCAATCCTTGTTGTTGTCGTTGAATTTCTATTGACAGTAATAGTACTAGCAGCATTATTGTTAAAGTAGACTTCTAAATCATCAAGAAATTGATTTAATAAATTAGAACACTTGTAAGATGCATATGTAGGTCGGTTCATTAATGATTTTTTCTCGCTCTTTTCATTGATAACATCTTTTGAAGTGATAGACGGTGATTGTTGATTCACAGGAACTGGAGTTTCATAAATTAATAACAGTAAATTGGCTAGGGTACCAAGTTCTGGTTTTAAATTTAATCGTCTTACTTCACCTAATATGCCTAAACCAATTGGAACATAATTGTAATTGGGTGAAGGGGAAGAGGATGGCGATGACTTCAACATCACAGTCGTCTGGGCTAAAGTGTACAGAATATTTGTATAGATTGAAATATTTATCGGCTCGCCACAGGCTTTCACATGTTCTAATACATTCAAAATCACATCCCAAACATTTTCTTCCCCTGTTTTAACAGTGGTTAAACCATGAAGTGAACGAATTAGCAGGCTGTAGGTTACAATGTCAAGACAACTGTCACCGTATTTTGAAGACCATGCAATTTTTGCTACTTCTAAAGCACGATCAGCATTTTTAAATCTAGCTGCTCCACGAATAATACTACGATAGGCTTGTGGTGTGTTTAAAGTAGTTTGTTCTTTGTGAAATAAACATTCTGCAGTGGTTTGTATATTCCAAATATTAGAATGTTTTGATAGAGAGGCAATAGTATCCTCGGTGATGTCGTCGACTTTGTCTACAGTCTCATTATTATCTGTATCTTTTTGTCCAGTAATACTTTGTGCATCATTATTTGATTTATTGAATATCATAAAGTTATCAGCAAGATAAACTTCATCCGGATCAGGTAGACTGCTCCAATTATAATCATCCAAGAGTAAATGAGAATAATATCCACCTTCACCTCCATTTGTAACACATAAGAGATCTAATAGACGATGCAAAGTATCTGGTGTCCATTTATGATCCTAATTTTTTTTAAAGAAGACATAGATGGAATAAAGTAGTGCACAGAAAAAAAGGTATAAACAAAGTCATTCTATAAGACTTTATAACGTTACATTTAAGCGGCAAATCAATGGCATTATTAAAAGATGGAGTTTATCTGCAAAAAAATAGGTGATGCATATGCGTAAAACATCTCGAACAATCTGATCACATATTTACTTCTCAAATCAATTTTAGAAAACAGAAAGATTGAGCGAAGAAATATTTACTTGTCAATTAGATCCTCATCTCTGGCTCTACTCTAATATATGATGAATAGCATTTTTATCACAATACACAACAGTTTACCAATCAAGTGGCACTGATATGTTTGTTAACAATAATTAGTCAGTGTCAAAATGTCAATGGGTTGATAATTAACGAAGAAAATTTATGCACACAATTAAAAGGTGGAAATGGTTAGAATAAGTTAATTTTACAAGGTTAACACGTAATTAAAGATGAAGTGGACAAAATAAATAAAAATAAAGTAAATAATTTAGACAATTATAATTTTTATGGGTTTAGGGGGAGGGGGGAGACGGAGTCCTGTTTATGCATTCTTGTGACGATGGCCACAGTAGGGACACATAGGCTTGGCTTCTTCAGGTGAATTCCGATTGCTTCAGCTATCTGTAGAAGACGAACTCGCAGAGCAAAATTAAGATTAGTCGGAATGTGATAAATAATTTTAAATGAGTATTATTAACGTCCACCTTATGCTCAGTATCAACGAGGTGGGCTAAAATAGAACTACGAATAGATCTTGTTTGTCCCTTGCTTAACCATGTTGGATGATGTTCGGAAATACGACGATGAACTTGCTTAGTTGTACGCCCGATGTCAACATCAGCGAAAAAATAACACGGCGCCTGAAGAATGCAGTTAAAAGAGCTTAGTATGCAGCAAAGGTACGTTGTCTCTTCACAACCACTCCTATTATATGTTCGAGAAATAAGGATATACTACCTAAATTCGCCTCCTCTATGTGTATCTACCAGTTTGATTGCAGCTACGGAGCCAGCTACATCGGGCGTACAACTAAGCAAGTTCATCGTCGTATTTCCGAACATCATCCAACATGGTTAAGCAAGGGACAAACAAGATCTATTCGTAGTTCTATTTTAGCCCACCTCGTTGATACTGAGCATAAGGTGGACGTTAATAATACTCATTTAAAATTATTTATCACATTCCGACTAATCTTAATTTTGCTCTGCGAGTTCGTCTTCTACAGATAGCTGAAGCAATCGGAATTCACCTGAAGAAGCCAAGCCTATGTGTCCCTACTGTGACCATCGTCACAAGAATGCATAAACAGGACTCCGTCTCCCCCCTCCCCCTAAACCTATAAAAATTATAATTGTCTAAATTATTTACTTTATTTTTATTTATTTTGTCCACTTCATCTTTAATTACGTGTTAACCTTGTAAAATTAACTTATTCTAACCATTTCCACCTTTTAATTGTGTGCATAAATTTTCTTCGTTAATTATCAACCCATTGACATTTTGACACTGACTAGTTATTGTTAACAAACATATCAGTGCCACTTGATTGGTAAACTGTTGTGTATTGTGATAAAAATGCTATTCATCATATATTAGAGTAGAGCCAGAGATGAGGATCTAATTGACAAGTAAATATTTCTTCGCTCAATCTTTCTGTTTTCTAAATGTCTAAATGAGGATTTTTTCTATTAGAAAGAAGAGAACACGAAGTTCAGCAAAGATATCTTTTCGGCGATTTCATTCTCAAAAGCTGTACAATCGCATTTATATAGATTATTTTAACATGGATAGAATTATTATTTGTTTAATTTCACATAGTAACGAAGGTGATAATAATTTTCAACTTGATATGATAGTTTGAAGGTACGAATATAGATTACAAGAGGCTTAGAGACAAGATTTCATAGGATTAGAAAATAGTTACAACGTATGCAAAAAATTAATATTTGATAACTGGAGAAATAATTTTAAAGGCGAATCGAAGGTGATAATTATTTTCGACTTGATATGAATTACAAGAGGTTTAGAAACGCAGGGATAGGACGAACTACAGGTGTGAACAAAATGAGCATGGAAACAAATTGAAATCAAAATTTTCAACTTGACATGTTAGTTAGGAGGTATGAATATAGATTACAAGAGGCATAGAAACAAAAAATTACACAGGATTAGAATATAATTGTAAAATGGTTATTCTAAACGGATTACAAGTGTGATCAGGAGGAGCATGGAAACAAAATTAAAATAACTAGTTTTATAACTGAAAAAATAATTTGAGCCTGAAATGAAAGTTAGGACGTGTGAATATAGATTACAAAAGCCTTAGAAACACAAAAATTGCACAATATTAAGATATAATTGTAAAATAGTTATTTCAAACGAATTATAAATGTGAACAGGGAAAGCATGGAAACAAACTTAAAATAACTGTTTTTATAGCTGAAAAAAAATTAGGTGGATTAAACGAAGATTGAGGGACTAAGAATCAGACACACAGCGAACGAAAAATGCTCTAAAGGAAAAAACAAGAACGAAAACAGACGAGGAAGAGAAAAAAAAGACGGAAACAAAGGGAACATACCAAGCTAGGTCCATGGTAGTTGTAGAGGTTGGACTAACTTCTTTTGAACACACAGCTCCGGCTTCTCGATGCATATTGCGAGGGCTTCTGCAGTACAAAGAAGTCGGAAACATATTGCTTTTGGTAGGTTTCTGTTGACTTTGTAAATCACTTTGAAAGAATCGGTTGAGATTTTGTGGGAGGTGTTGACCAGATGTTCAATAATGGCACTTCTGATTGAACCGGTGCCTCCTCTTTGCAGCCACGCTGGGTAGTGTTCTCTAACACGTTTTGAGAGGACGCGCATACAACGACCTATGTACCTAGCTCCGCACGAGCAAGTGAACTGGTATATGCACATTGAATTGGTCATATGCGAAAGTTTGTCCTTCGTGTTGTTTCGAAGTATTGGGCGGCTAGAGAATGTCACTCTTAGTGTTGCTGCAGGGAAGGTCTTCTTTAGAGAGCTGGATATTCTCCTCTTCAGGATATCAGCTGCCAAATCTCCCTTGAAATTCAGATTTAGATACAGCGTTTTCTTTGGCGCTGAATCGCATTCTTCTCTTTTAGGTTTAGGTTTCATGTTCTTTTCGACAAAACGTGTCGGGTAGCCATTTTGAGCCAGGATATTTTTGAGGAATAGGAGCTCCTCTTCCATGCAATCGTTGCTGCAGATTTTTCTAACGCGATGGGTTAGTGCGCTGATGAGGGCTCGTTTTCGGCTCAGAGGTATCCAACTATAGAAATGCGTTAGTTGGCCATTCCATGTCGGTTTTCTGTGGATGGACCTCTTCAGGGTTCCATCATCTCTTCTTGTCAATTCCACGTCCAGAAATGGAATCTTTGAATCGCTTTCTAACTCCATTGTGAATTTAATCGAAGGATGGGAATTATTGAATTCTTGTAAGATGCAGTTGAAGTCCGAGTTCTCGTAGCAGACTATAAAGGTATCGTCAACGTACCTTGTAATTCATATCAAGTCGAAAATAATTATCACCTTCGATTCGCCTTTAAAATTATTTCTCCAGTTATCAAATATTAATTTTTTGCATACGTTGTAACTATTTTCTAATCCCATGAAATCTTGTCTCTAAGCCTCTTGTAATCTATATTCGTACCTTCAAACTATCATATCAAGTTGAAAATTATTATCACCTTCGTTACTATGTGAAATTAAACAAATAATAATTCTATCCATGTTAAAATAATCTATATAAATGCGATTGTACAGCTTTTGAGAATGAAATCGCCGAAAAGATATCTTTGCTGAACTTCGTGTTCTCTTCTTTCTAATGTCCATATGGGGATTTTTTGTATGTTGAAATCAATTTTATATGAACAATAAAATGGAAAATAAAACAAACAAAAAGATAAGAGGTTTAAGAATATGAATATTAACTAATTAACACTACTTTTGGTAATACAATCGGATGAAGAGTACCAAGGGAGGTAAAAAGGGTAATAAGAAATTGACTGATGAAGCCAACTCTTTCCTAACCTCATCGATCCTATGTCAGCTAACATTGCCCCGTCGACGAAGGCGATGGCTAGCCTAGGATGAGTAACCCATGTCCTCCAATCATCTCTCTCAATCGATGTAACTTCGCAATCTCGTCGAACGACTTCCCCTCCTTACCTAGCATTCAACTGATGCCTAAACTTCAATATTACTAACCCTATCGTACTCACCTAACAGGGGAAATAGAACGGATACACCTATGATCAAACACAACTAGCTTTTTTATGTCTTCTACTCTCAATGGCCACGTCTCACAACTATGAACGAAGACACAGAGCACTACTGAGCAGTACACACGTCCTTCGGTCGACGATCAAAGATGACGTAAGTTGGCAAATTCCACACAAGCATTTTTTATCCCTACTGAGACTTCGTCATCAGTCGCAGTCTGTCGGGATTGAAGCAACTTTCCAAATAATTGAAGTGGTCAACACCCCCCTACCACTTCACTCCTGTTTATGTTTAAGCTAGGAGTCAATATAGTCTAGTTCTATAGAATCATCTTACATTTAACGGGAGCGAATCGCATGCCCAACATTCGAGAACTGCTGATGGGTTTTAAAATGCAGTCTATGGGAAAGCTAACAAGAAATGTTGGATATTCTTCTGAAAATCACTAAGAGAATAGAACCACTTACCCTATATCTTTCTGCAGACTATAAAATAGTTTATGATTAATTTTTGATCGACATTTTGTCTTCCAAAATGATATCAGCTTACCTCGAGATTAATGAAATCCTCTAAAATCTGATAACTGAACATTAAATATTGGAGACCGAATTCCCCGAAGCTTCGATGAAGAGTTGTAATGCATAGAAAAACAACTACTTAACACTAGTACTGGGCAGTGGTTATACTATGTAGGATAAAGGAATAGTTGGAGAAGAGTAACTAATGTGATGTGTCCAGAGTGAGGCCATGTGGTCTGGAGCTTTTGACACCCAAAACGTAAGTATTATCAGCTGCTTCGCAGTTAGTCGTTCTCGATAACTCTCCTAATTGATTTCAGTTGGTGATTCAATTATAAACGCGATGTTTACCACTCTTGTATCAAGCGAACAGAAACTTGTTCCTCTTTCCTTTGAGTTCCAAGTGGAACATATAGCTTCAAGCTTACTTAAGATATCAAGTTCCGGTAGCGGTGGTTCTTCATTCTCAACCTTCTCTTTGTACCATGTTTACTATCACCGGCTAGACGAGGTTTATGAGTGTGTCAGTTGGCAATCGAACCCAGACCGTAAGAACTTTATTTGAGATAATAATGACGAAATGATTGTTAATCAACTAGTGAATTAAGTTTGTACTTACAGGAGCTATATCATTGTACAATTTCCATGAATGTTTAGGAGCCAGAAGTAAAATCAATCGATCCATAGCTTCATCATTACTTAATGATCCATCGACAGAACGTTTTATTATGTCATCGGGAGTTTGTATTGGTACCCAACGATCTATGCGTGGAGTCTAAATAGTAGTATGCAAACAAACATAAATTAGTAAATAATTTTTGAAAAATAATGCTACCAAACATCTCCAGTAAATATATAATAATAATGCTTTATTTGAGACAACATGTGAACAAATAATACAGAAATTTACAGCAAGTGACGCGGGTGCAATTCTTACAAGGAACTTGAATTCCTTCAAGGTTGCAGATGTCTGTCTGTCTGTCTGGATTCAACATAGAACTTGGCACCCAAGTGCACCAGTTCGAGTTGCCACGTTCCAAATAGCACACAAGGTATACAAGAAGATGAGTGAAGAGAATCAATACAGTCTGACAAGTATAAGAGTGAAACAGAATGGGTAATGGTAGAAAGGAATATGAAAGATTACAGAGACTGAATACATCTGCGCTAGGCATTGACAACGATTTTGAGCCATGTCACCTATTGTCTCCAGCCATTGATTCTAGAGTCCCGAGGGCCCCAACCCGGAGTCTGCATCTCCCTACCTGACTCAGTTTAACTGTCAGTGATTTCATGGATTGATGACATGTTTTTGTTTGGCCACCACTGGCTCTTTTCCAACCTGCACCTATATCAGCTAGCAATGCCCGTCGGGGGAGGCGGTGGTTAGGCATGCGCAGCACGTGACCTAGCCATCTTAGTCTATGTAACTTTATAGCCTCGTCGATTGATTTTCCCTCTTTGCCAACACTCTACGCCTAACGTCAACATTACTTACCTTATTAAACCACCTAACGTGAGACAGAGATCGCAGACATCTATGATCGAAAGCAGTCAACCTTTTCATGTCTTCAACTCGTATTGGCCATGTTTCAGAGCCATAGAGAAGGACGGAGCGAACTGATGAGCAGTACACGCGTCCCTTGGTTGATAACCGGATGTCACGCCTACGCCAGAGATGGTGTAAGTCAGCGAAAGCAGCTCGAGCTTTTCGGATCCGTGCTGAGATTTCATCACCAATCAGTCCGTTGGTGCTAATACAACTTCCCAAATAGGTGAAGTGGTCAACATGTTCTAGGTTGCAGATACACCTTCCTGACTGATGAGTGTCAACTAGCACGAAACCCAAGTCAGACAAGGCTTCCTGCCAATCGCCTTCAACCACTTAATACCGACAATATCCAGAGTATTGAAGTTCCGAAATATTTCGTCTGCTTACAAGATTTATATGTAAAGTAATAATCTGAAGTACATCATGTGAACCTGTGCTAATGGATATGAAGACAGAACCAATTCTATATATTTTCCCTTTATTTCCTTCAAGAATTGCACAGTATTTTGTCGAAAACTAATTTAAATGTGTGCGAGTTCATCCAGTGATCATCTGACATAACTGCATGATTAAAACAATACGAAATGAAGAAGAATTTAAGCATTTTGATGGTTGGTATTTCTGGTAGCTCAGTGATTTAAGCAGACCGTCGGTTCAATATTCGCACATAGTAGTAATTAGATTTGGCATCATATTTAATAGTATGAATGAAAAATAGTGGATGATACGTCGGTAAGTATAAACCAGGTTTTCAGTTCACAAACTAATATTCATAAATCATTGCTCATACACACGTTGCATATATCAACAGAGAAAAGATACATCACCACAAAAATCTGGACCAAGACGGCCTGGTTGTTATGGATTCTTAGATAATTCAGAGAAGAAAATTTTCCTTGTCGACGAAATCATATTCACAGGCTGTACAGTCGTATTTTTATTTACCGAAAAGGTATCTTAGTCCATTATTCAATAATATGGGGGGGGGGGTTGACATAACTGACAATTACTCAGAAGTGGCCTCAAAAGTAAAAGTTGTAAATGACGTAATACTCAACGGCACAAAGGAAGAAAGGGTTAGAAATGTGAAAAGGTTAAAATTGATATTGAGTGAGAATAAAGGTGGTATTTGAGTGTCAGTTTAACAAGTGTGAAGAGGGTGTAAAAATGTACAAAAGGAACATATGAGAGTGATAATAATGAATTAATTCTTAAAGTAAAAGCAAACTAATCAGTAAAAATAAAGACAAAAATTACAGGGAACGACTAATAATAAGGTTAGGTTTCGGGGTTTGTGTATGGCGGAGGCGTTGGCAATTTTGTCAATACAACGCCGAACTCTGTATACAGAAGTTTATCCAGTCTCTTATATATACCATAGTCTTAACCTCTTCACTAGTCGTTGTCCTTTATATTTTGCTTCACTTTAATAATTAATTCATTATTCTCACTCTCACATGTTCCTTTTGTATATTTTTTCACTCTCTTCACACTTGTTAAGTTGACACTCAACTACCTTTATTCTCACTCAATAAGAATTTCAACCTTATCAAATTTCTAACCCTTTCTTCTTTTCCGCTGTTGAATATTACGTAATTCGCAAATTTTGTTTTTACCTTCGAAGTCACTTTTAAGTAATTATTTCAACCATGTCATCTCCTTATATTAATCGATAATGAACTACGATACATTTTCGGTAAATGAAAATATGACTGTACAGCCTGTGAAGATGATTTTGTTGACAAGGAAAATTTTCTTCGCTGAACTGTCTTCTATTCTCTTCATGACCCAATGGGTATTTTCAGTGATTTTATTCTGAGATAAATCGACTACAACATGATAACCGTTCCAGCTGTTCAATGCTATGTGCTCATTAATGACGGAGTTTATTTTATGTTCTATTCCTTTACTTCCCCATTGGAACATATGGCTTCAAACTAGAGACTTGAAGCTTCGGTAGCAGCAGTGTTTTATTTTTACGGAATGGGGTTGCTAGCCTCATGTCCAACCTTCTCTCTTTACCAGCTTATATTTCTGGCTTAGCGAGGTAAAGGAGTGCGTCGGCCGGGGATCGAACCCCGAACAACATGAGGTGTGGTTCGTGAGCATTCTACCGTTGTGCCACCGACGCACACAATGACAGAGTATAAAATACGGAAACTGAGCATTATGACAACAACACACTGTGAGACACTTTATTTCTAGATACATGTAAAGAGTTGATAGTTATGAAAATGAAATTTGCAATTTATATAGTTCGACAAGATGAAGTTTCACCACACAGTTTCCGGCAAAGTTAAAGTAACATAGCTAAAGTCAAGGTCTTTCAAAAGTTGACCTCCAAGAACCGATTAGAGACAGGGAATGCTATGAAATGTCATTCCGAATCAAATCATGTCTCCCTTTTTGAACTTGCAGAGGGTAGATATAGTGCTCTACTTATTTGCTTGGTACTTTTTCTGCAAATCTATATTGTTACGTAGGGTTATGGCTTTTTAGATTAAGGTTTAGGGTGTGGGGTTAAGGTTAGGTTTAGGATTAAAACTAGGATTTGGAATATGGTTAGAGTAATATTAGGTTCAAGAATAGTGTCAGAAATATCAGTGGATCTCAGAGTACCATGACCTGCCTACAGTCACCTGGATGAATGGATATATCGCCCATGGTACGACTTCTCTATAGATAATGTGTGAAATGACTGGGAGACATTCTTACAACACATAAACTACAACTACACAGTGTAAAATCATCCTTGCAATATTTATTTTTAGTGTATTTTTCAACGATTATGTGGCTCTTTTTGAATTCCGATTGCTTGTTCAAGGTCACCACGGTCTTGGCTATGATAGTTTAACTTTGCCAGTTTCCTTTGGAAACCAAAATTATCCAGGTTACCACATTACATGATCAGCTTGAGACCATAAATGGTAAATCAAGAAAATAAGCCAGCCAAAAATCGGTAGGTTTTGAACTGATTCAACTCTCTGAGCCGCGTAAAAACGGGGCAAAACTGCTGATTAGCCCAGCGACAAACGAGCAAAACGGCCGTCCAGTGTTCACATCACTTTGATCTGACTAGCAAACACTACTACATGATGTGAGTGATATACAACTACTCATCCCATTTATTCAGTAGTATATACTGATGTATAAAGACCTAATTTTTCTACATGTAATTTCACTTATGATATTTGAGATCCTATTGCTTGTTGAGTGTTTTAATTAATTAATGTCTCTCGTGATCATTTTAAAGCGTATATATATATATATATATATATATCGCTTTTCACACGAGACAGTGAAAGTTTACTGCGTCAACTTGTCAGACTTCTCTTCTTGCGCCGCAATTTCCGTTGTATCGTATCACGTTGTTGTTCTTGTGGCTAATAATGGTTAGAACAATAGGTTTGCGTATTAACTAGGTAGGAAATTCGTTAGCGCAACTACAAGTGTATTCACCGTCATATCACATAGTCTCAGGGGTTTATTGACGCTGATCAATTAAACTTATTTAGAGCTTTAAGAAGATTAATGTTTTTTTCGAAGTTTAAACTTATGTCACTCAGTATACAGGAATAACAGACGCCAAGAACTTGAATACACAATCAACCAGCTAAGCCCTTTACAAAAACCTCCTTTCATTGCAATTTTTACGGCTATTATTATTATTATTATTATCAGAATAGCTATTATGCAACAGAATTGAACAAGTAAATACTTACCTCTTTGCTCAAAGTTGTAATATCATTCGGAAAAAAGTCTCTAGCAGATACTCTTGCAGCTAAACGTCCTTTTGCTCTAGCCAACAAATGATAACGTGTTCGAAATATTGATAAATATGTATAATCTGGACCAAGTTGAAAATGTGGAGCTTCTGGAATAGGTTGTACGCATGAAATTAAAGCACGTAAAACTGATGTAGAATTTTTATAACGTTTGAAAGGTGGATCAATATCAAGTGAATTCACTTCTTTTTCTACTTTAACTGAACTTGATGATGATAATGTTGTAAGATGGTATTCATGAGGTAGAAATAGGCGTTTACCAATCGATAAATTGTTTATGCAAGCATAACGCAGCATATTCAAGGAGCTGTAAGGGAAAAATAGAGGGTCGTTGTAATACCATCAGAAAAGTGACATAAATGCCTACTTACATGATTTCCAAAGTGTACTGAAATTTAGACACAATTCCTTTTTGGATGGAGGATTTCATCATGAACTAACATCAGTCGGAGAACCATTGGAAAACAAGCTGGGAGTAGTGGACACATGTTTCGTCCTAGTTTGACTCTTCATCAGTGCGCACCCACCGCCATGGTTCAAACCTAGGCACTTCTGGTTACAAGGCTAGCGAGCTCGTAGAACACTGAGCCACTGGGACTCGATTCAATAGCCAGCCCATGAATTCTAACTTCTGCCAATTCACGACATAGAGCGACCATTTCGCAATGTCTTCTTCGATGAGTTACTGCCTCATCTCCAACCTGCTGTAGCCTACCGGTCACGGCTTCCTCTACTAGAACCCCAGCTCGTGATGAAATCCTCCATCCAATCAAACTAAATCCCTACAAAACCAATACTTGACAGTTCCCTTTTTATTAGCTGTGAATATGAATGCACTGAATGGAGTATTTTTAAAGTTTATCATTCAAAATATGCATCAGTGTTTCAGTAGTAGAATTCTCACCAACAACGTACGTGGTCCAGGTTCGATTCACAACCGACGCACTCCTAAACTGGGTGAAGAGAGAAAGTTCCGCATGAGGCTAACAACTTCACGCAAATAGAAGTTACCACTACTAAAACTTCAAAGCTTAAGCCCGAAGCTATACCCTCCAATCAGAACACAAAGGAATGAAGAAAATAATTAAATTAATAATCCTCATTTGAAACATAAAAACAAAGAATACAGGGAAGAAAATTCGACGATTTCATTTCCATAGATGTACACAATCGGTAATAACAATCAGTCTTCTTGTGTGTGTGTCAAAGTTTGACAATGAGTGGAATACTAAAGTCCAATAATAATTTGAATATTCCCAAAATGAGATGGAACAATAGTCAGTTAGTTTTGAATAGGCATGGTCAATAAAAATGTCTTATTTTAACTCATGTTCTCATTTATGTCATATATTCAAAACTAACTGATTAATTGTTCCACCCCACTACCTTATACCTGTTCTACAATACACTTTCTGATATGATTTTAATTTGCCTTTACCTGGCTGGCTATTCTATGCTTAAATTAGTGGATTTGTAATTGTAGAGCCTGAAAAGGAATTTATTGAAAACAATTGTTCGCTTTAACTATTTTTGTCCTGCTATAATAATATTGGTATATAGGATTATGAGTCACAATTGACTAGGCATATGAATGAATAACTAAATAAATAAATAGAGGTCAACCTAAAGTTCAATAGACATGTGTGAAATAGATAATCGGAAAATAGAGTACATTCGGAAATGTGAATATAATATGATGGAAACATAAGTTGAGTGGAGTGTTGTCAAAATTGTAGACTAGATAAAATGTTAGAATATAATAATACTAAATGAAATAAAATAAAACATAAATGTAACCATGGTCTTGATTTTACTATATAATTCACATAAAATCTTTGTGCGTCGGTGGCACAGTGGTTAGGACTCTCGCTGACCATGCACATGGTCCGGGGTTCGAGCCCTCGCCGACGCACACTTGATATCTATGGTCGGCCTGCGAAATTTGGGCTACCGATATCCACGCTGAAAGCTCCATACTTCTACCAAAAGTACGGTGTGGGGGTCAAGCTGTAATCAAAAATAAATTTATTTCATGTTCTATTTATGTTTTATTCTGTTTCACTTTATATTATCATATTTTAACATTTTATCTAGTCGAATTGGATTTTAGATTTTCCAGTCGATTGATTGGACAGAAGTGCTTGGTCTCAGGTTGACATGTCGGCTTCATGTGCAGATGCTTCGACCATGTCTGGGCATGCAATTAGAATTTAATTAGTGGATGGTGACTAGCAGTGGAATCCAGGATAAAGCGCATTTCGTTCTATTTGGGACTCGTCACCTGGATGTACCTGCATTTCTCAGTGAGTGATGATGTTCCCCAAAGGCTCGAACCCAGTGCCCATAGTTTCAAACACCAAAGCGTTATCCACTAGTCCACTTGGGCCATGAGAGACACTTCTTGTGCAACGGGCCATATTAATTATTTAATTGAATTTTAAATTTCCTCGTCGATTGTACATCTATCAAAATGAAATCGGCGGAAATAATTCAAAATATATCTTCATCATTTTGCATAGTAAATGCCACCTAAACTTCTTAAACCAACTTATGCAAGATTGCCTTACTTTAGACTTCTACTTCCAAATTATAAGTACCAAATTCAAATTTTATTTCTAACACATCTATGATGAGAGTAAAAGTAGTCGCAAGGGTGTTTTCGAGCACAGTATGGTGTACGTCACAGCAGATATTACAACTGTGTGTGTGTGTGTAAAAAGCCGACAAAACACTTTTAAAACATTAGTTAGAGAACCATTGGAAAACCTGGGAGTAATAATAATAATGGTAAAGCTTTATTTAAGACAGTAATGTTTACTGATGACGTTTCGAGCACAATTTATTGCTCATAATCATATCACCTTGATATGATTATGAGCAATAAATTGTGCTCGAAACGTCATCAGTAAACATTACTGTATAACACTGTGAGACTTTATCAAAACAAAATTTACCCATAATGGAATTACACTCTACCACAGTGCACAAGTTTTATTCTTATATCAATGATTTATTTAAGAGAGTATGCAAATATACGGAACAAAAATTTTCAGCGTATTCAGTTCCAAAGTACTTTTTTCTTCACACAGGATTCACATGTAAATTAATAATCCGAAGTATATTTGGGAGCAAGTTATATCATCGCGCAAGTTTATGTATAGGTCATTTGATATAACTGGACGATTAAAACAATGATAAATCCAGATAAAATTAAGCATTTTGGAGGAAAGTAATTTCGGTAGCCCAATGATTTAAGCAGGCCGCCAAATATGGACACAGCTGTTTCGCCCTAGTTTGGGACTCTTCATCAGCACCCACCCAACGCCACGGTTCGAACCCAGGACCTTCTGGTTATAAGGCTAGCGAGCTCGTAGACCATTGAGCCACTGGCACCCGATCCAGTGGTCCATGGGTGCGTACTGCTGAAGAGTCCCAAACTAGGATGAAACAGCTGTCTAGTACTCCCAGGTTTTTCAATGGTTCTCTAACTAATGTCACTCATGATGAAATCCTATAACCAATTAAATCCCTAAAAACCAACACTAGAACTTTTAAAACAGACAAAAGTAACATCTAAGATGATTACAGCATTCCTTTAAGCAGGTAATATAGAATCAACCAACCACCTGACGAAATTTAAATCGTAACTGACTGTCTCGATTCTACTCATTCAAGTAGGCAGGTGAACAAATGTATTTCAACTACTCATTTATCTGATTTCATTTTTTTTAAAAAGATAAAATAATCTTCAAGTTAAATAAATTTTCCAGAAAAAAAACAAATAGAAAACAATAAGTTTGATTTTAGGAGATTTATTTACAAAATATAACCACATTAAAACAAAAGAAAACAACTATAGGGGAAATACACAGAAACACAAAGAGGGAAAGTTTATCAAAGTCAAATCGATAAAATAAAACAGGGTTAGTTAACATCTTTGTGAATACATATATGAAGAAAAACGGGATACTTAATTACGACACTTTTATGATAAAAAAAAACAATATACACATCTGCATATATATATATATTATTGGAAATAAAGGGGGGAACAAAACCAATGGTGGATTACTTTCCTCTTAATAAATACGAATGTGCATCAGACATAGAATTAGACCGCCTTTCACTTCGTACACCTTTTGAACGGGTAACACGAACACTTTTATTATGACGACTATTTACTGTACCTTTAGTTGGTATAGATGTACTGGTCACTGGTGTTGACGCTGATACTTCTTTTATAGTCATCCCTGAAATTGTTGTCAGCGTTGATCTTGTCGGTGATCCGAGAGTCGTTTCTTTTGATATCTGTGGTATATTTATACTGACACTTAACGATTGAGTATTCAATGTGATAGTAGGTGATACATTGACATGGGAAGTTTTTGTTCGCATCAATGATTCGGATAGTTCACATTTACAGCATAGATGAGATTTTGGAGCATTTCGTGTTGTTCGCCTTAGTGATTTATTATTATTATTATTATTATTACTAAGAGTTAACGGTTCTGTATCACCTGAAGATTCAGAAGCTGTAGTCTGAATAGATGGTTGTTCCATTTTCAGTGGGACTGTAAAAGAAGAATAGTGTACACGAAAAAAAACGACGGGTAGACAGAATTAAGAAGAAACAATAATATTAAACATATTGATTTTAAGATTTGTATAAGGAAACTGTTAACAATTTCCCAACAGTAACAAAACAAACTGACCTCATGATGTGTCTCATATAAACTACAAAAGAATACGAGTTACACTTAGGACAAGAAAAGTAAATGCTACAGGATTTTACTATTACATTCTCTCTTTTAGTTCCTAAAGGAACATAGGGCTTCAGGCGCATGTTTGAGTTCGCTTCTCTGCAAACGTTTTCACCTGGTTCCACGTCTGCCCACATGTTTTCATCTCTTTTTCACATGGTCTTCTCTACGTCACTCTAGAACGACCAACTCGCGGCTTCCCCTTCGGGTTCTACTCGAGAGACAGCCTGGCGTGTGATGTCACTTGATGATTTTCTCAGAGTGTAGCCAATCCACCTCCATTTCTTCCTGCATATTTATTGTACAATTGGTCCCTGCTAGGTTGGTTCGCTCATCGCCAAAGATCCCTGTTGCTGATGTTTTCTGGCCGGCCATCTGATCTTGACTAGTACTGAGCGAAGATAGCTGTTGATGAAGGTCATCAGTTTATTCGAATCGCCCTTCGTGACGCCGCGCCAAGTCTCTGATCCGTGTAGTAAATAGTACTGACTTCACATTGGAGTTAAAATTCCGGACCTTATTTTTCACGCTGAGTACTGTTGACCTCCACATAGACTTGAGAGTAATGAAATATTACCTTGCTTTCCCGATTCTGGCTTTGATATCCTCGTCAGTTCCACCTGTAGTTGAGACGATGCTTCCCAGATAGATAAAGGGGGTTGTTTCTTCCAGGTTCCTTCCATTTATGCTGACTGTTGTCTGTCGCTGCTGTTGCTGTTGTACAGGAATCTTCATCACTTCTGTTTTTCCTATGTTCACCTGAAGTGCTATGTTTGATGCTTCTTCTTCCAACTTGTTGCTTTTCACTTGCATATCTTCCAGTTTGTGGGAAATCAGACATATATCATCAGCGAAGTTCAGATCCTCCGAGTTTTTTGTGTGGGTCCATTTTATGCCTGTCTCCTCGTTTCCCGACCCGCTGTCTGTCGCATTATTCAGTCTACCACCCGCAATCAAGAAAATCATTGGAGATAGTACGCAGCTTGCCTTACTCCTGACTTCACTTCAAAGGATTCCGTGAGTTGGCATGCAGCATTATCGTACAACTGTTGGACGAGGTGTATAATCGCTGTCAGCACCCCATAGTAGCGAGAGAGTTATCGAATCACCTCTCCATCAACGCTGTCGAAGGCCTTTCTAAAGTCAATGAAGTTGAGGTAGAGAGATGACTGCCATCTCAAACTCTGTTCAACAATGATCCGTAGTGTTGTGACTTGATCGATGCAAAACTTGTTCCTCTTGAATCTAGCCTGTTTCAGTCGGAGTTTTTCACCCAGGGAGTGTTTAATTCTCTCCAGAATGACGCGGAGCTTAGTATTTTGTTTGGAACGGGAATAATAAAAGTAAATGTATCTCACTATTCCGAATTCCTTTCAGAAGAAAAATGTCAATATCGTTTTCTTTAAAAATGTGTTGAATTTCTCGTAACTTAAAAATCATCGTTGGGATGTACACAGTTTTAATTTTTATTTGAATGCATTCACAATTTCCTTTGGAAACTGAAATTATTCTGATCACAGTATATGATCTACGTGAGCAATCAAAAAAGAGAAAAAAATAAAAATAAATAAATGCATGATGCTGCATACTACTGGTTGGTCGGTATGAGTAGTTGTATACTACTCACATGAACGAGTACTACTTGTTAGCCAGATCGCGGTGATATAAACGCTGGACGGTAATTTCGGAACTGATTCGGCTTTCTAAGCTGAGTCAAACTGGATACAGTGCTCATGAACTGGGCCCTAGACGAGTGAAACAGACATCCAATTTTTGAAAAACAACTTCATCAATCTGCATACCAAGTACAACAAGTTGATGTGGGTAGTATATTCAATCCTTCAGATCAATCGAATTCGCATAAATCAGACAGTTTAGTGAGTTCATTGTTTAAGGTGAGAAAAATTCCATTTACCTGGACTTATATCCATATCAGTTAACCAAATTTTTCCAAACCAGAATTTAGAAGTTTTATCTACATAATGCATAAACATGTATAAATGTCGATGAATTATAGCTCGTCGACAAAGTGTTAACTGCATCCCATCCAGAAGTGTTGGAAGAATAGCTGGAAATATGTAAATAACAAGATAACAGAAGTAATAAAATTTCATATAAAAATTTAAAATATGAATCAATATGTTAAACTTATCATGATCAATGGATATAGGATACTAGATGATTGGAGGCAATCGGCAGGTTTCGTGCTAGTTAGCACTCACCAGTCAGTAAGGCATATCTGCTATCTTAAAGGAACTCGCGTCCATTGAGATTCAAACTCGTGTCACCCAGTGCTGCAGTCAGAGACGTTACCACTGAGCTATTCGTGCTCGCGATTGACCTGTTTACAAATACATAATCATTCACTTTCATAACACAGTGGTATATACAGTGGTATTTCACACTTTCTTTACACTGAAAAACCCACAAAATGTGGTAACACATAGAAGTCAGATGGTTAGAATCACCATACATAAACGTTCACGATTCTTGTTACTATTATCAAAGCGGCAGAACACATAGGTGTATTCAGTAACAGAATTCTCTATCTGTCAAAATGATGTATAGTTGTGGCAAAATACAGAAACTTTAGGTAGAAATTTTCATTCACACATGTTCTCCGCATTGCCAGCTTCTTTTGCCTTCCTTTTATTTCTCCTCTTTACCAGTGAATCTGTTGTTTAGCCATTTAGTAATCTCGCAATATACTACTTACAAATTTTGTCAGTAGCACACGACATATGAGTAGTGTGTAGTAATAAAGACGTGTAGTTCAGAATGACCGAATAAATTATCTGATTTTGTTGTGATGGTGTGTTACTGTTTTATTGTTGTCGTCTAATTTGAATAACCAACTGATCACTTGAACACAGAAGTCGAATCCAACTGCGACACCAACGACGTTTTATTACTCATAATACAAGGTATATACAGCTTACAAAACCTCAGGAATTCAAACCATAAATAAACAAATCTGATTGGTTGTATAACATCATAAGGCCTCGGAAATTCAAATCACAAAATAAACAGTCAAAAACTGTCCAATCAGGTTATCACGTTAGTGCATGCATAAATCATGAATTTACGGCTAACAAAGATTTTCACCAATTTTCGGTATATGACACGATAGCGTGGTGATTTCGGGGATAGTAATGACTGACCTATCAATATAGGACTTTGTACAAAAGTGAAACATGTATAATCAATTGAATAAACCACTTCGCAAGAAACAAGACATGAGTTTGTCAAACTGGAGACAACTCAATAAGCGACACACATAACGCTGATACTATTTGAGGAAAGTGAAATTTTGATACTAAAACAAAGAAATTTACTGGACTTTTGTAATTTTTCAATAATCTGCATATAGATTCCTACTACAGACGCTTTAACGATGCCTTTTAACTTGATGTGACTATCAGTGGTATTTAGAACACGTGCTTCTTTCTACTTGGAACTCGTCATTTGGATATACCTCTATCCCATTGAGATTTGCACCCCCCTCCCCCAGTGTTATGTGCTGGCTAAAGAATTGTGAGAACTACCACCTGAGAAACAAGTATTATTTGTTATTTTATTGGAACACCATTACTCACTGAGGTACATACAATTGAGGAATCCCTGAAAGGGCTGAAAGATGGTCTTTTATTCTAGTGACAGTCACTACCTATCAAGCAAGAGAGAAAGTCAAAATAAACAAATGATAACGAAAAAGGAAAAAAAGAGGATAGGGAGTGAAATAATCTCATTGAACATGGAAAATAGGCCTCTATCAGTTACTACGACCAGAAAAAACAGACCATAGAACCTTTCTTAATATTATATGAACGTACAGTTTGAATTTTATAAAGCTGTAGGCGTTCACAAACACACACACACACTCACACAAAGAAGCAGAAATTCTATGCATCAAAGATAACTCACTGAATAATCGTAAAAGGAAATGCGGTGGATAGTTTAAACAAGGCAGTTTTGGATTTTTCACTGCCTCAGAATTTGGCAGTAATTCATATCGAGGTGAAGCGAACCGATAAATAGATTGAATATCATTTGGACCGTGTGGAAAATTTACACCGAACGCCATACCACTTTGATACAACTGAACGCTAGAGTTAATTATAGATATGAAGAGACATAAAAAGAAAGAAAAATGGAAATACATGCACAAGAATTTTACAAATTGATTTACTGATAAAAATAGGAATACAGGGGAAAATATTATTTTCCTTTCCCCTAACATTTTTATAGGGCATTAAAAGTACAATTTCAACTGATGAAATAATATGTGAATCTCCCACTTGGAATATTAGATCATAAGTGTAAATATTTCTGGGATAAATTACTAATACATTGTGCTAAAATTTCGTAAACTTTACTAATTTATTCTCGATATTTTTGTAAAAGGCAATAATAATAATGATTTATTTCAGAAAATATGCCAACACATAGTACAGAAATATTAACTAATGACATTTCGAGCACAAACTATTGCCCATAGTCATATCAAGCTACTCACACAACTTTCTTACTTCATTTATATACATGTGTGGAACTGACTAGATATTTAAATAAAAATCCATATGTGATAATGTACATTCAGAAATAATAATATGAGTGTTTTTTGATCAACTACAATCAGATGGAAAATAAGACGAGTGTTTTTGTAGTCATAATAAGTAACTTGTTAGAATGTTATGATGTGCTTGAATTGAAATAGAATTTTAAGATTATTTTATTATCCTCCTCCGATTTGACTGGCGGTAATAATATCATCCATATTTCTGGTATTTGCGTTGAGTCACTTCTATTGCATGTGTTGGGTGTAGACTCGATGAACCAGGATTCAGTAATCAATCCCTCACGCTCTCCACCTACTTACATATATTACTTCTTAGAAGTTTATCTCACCACCCTATTGTGTAGTTGTGTGTTAATGCATGCAGTGCTATAGCTAAGCTTTTTTCTAAATTACTTATCTTCTCGGGGTTAACCATTCTTACCTTAGCTAAATTCTTATGTTCCGACAATCTGACTACCCCCGACCTACTAGTTTGACCTATGTAGTTGACCTCAAACTCATAATGGAGTTATACTCTACCACAGTGCCCAAGTTTTATAATTATAACATAGTACAGAAATTTCCAATGTGTTTAGTTCCAAAATATTTCTTCTTCATACAGGATTTACACATATAAAGTAGTAATATGAAGTGCATCATGTAACATAGAGTCCTTATATATGAAGACAGAACCAATTCTGTAAGTTTTTTCATCTCGTTTTGAATATTTGCACAGTGTTTTAATCAGAAGCTAATTATGTACGCGCACTAGTTCATGCAGTGGTCATCTGATATAAATTGCACAATCAAAACATTGAGAAATGCGGAAGAGTTGAAGCATTTTGATGGATGGGAATTCCGATAGCCCCATGATTTAAGCAGGCGGCCACCGTGTACTAAATTAAATTTATTTGTAAATCACAAAAGTGAAAATCCACAATGTGTCATCCTGCTTAATACCATAAATATCAATCAAGTAAATAATCAATACAGAAAGATGGCATATGCCATTGATTGGTTACAGGCAGTCAAGAACTACTCACATTAAACAGCAGTACTAGCTACTAAGGTCGAAGTAAACTAAACATGACACTGCTGTTTCGGTTAGATACAGTTCAAAATATTGATTCATCGACGGTTATATCTAATAATTACGAACATGTACAGTAGACAATCTCAATTTAATACGTTCAAATGAATAAGATGTTGTGGAAATTTGAGTTGTTGAGAATACTACAATACTGAGAATCATGATGCAGTGGAAAATTGTTTTATTCTATTTCCATAAATTTGAGGAGTTTGCATCCATGAACATTCTTAAGATCAACAAACTAAACAGCTGGTGAATTCAAATCAGCTTGTTTATTCCCTAATTTTAAACATTCAAGTTAATATCCAGAAGTGATATCTACTGGTAACAGTGCACTGGATGACTGTTGTGCTATAATAGGTGATCCAATAGAACTCCAATATAAAAAGCATAGTTTATACTGTGAATGTAATTACTAGTCCATATCATATCAGTAAAATAAAATAATTCCAGGTTATAATGAAGGGTTGTTATCCTTGTCTTTGGAATAAATCAGCTTTTTTTCTTACTAATTTACTTACTTGTTAGTTGATCTTGACTTCTCACTAGGCAGTAGGAGGTAATCTCTTAGAGTGAAATCAAATAGTATACGCAGGCTGGAACAAACTTCTGCACAAATTAATCGATTTTGATCAGTTTGAGTAAATAACGGATTCATAATACGTGAAACACGATCTGAAACAGTTTCTTTAGAAATTAAAAAAATAAAGACGAAAAAAGATTTACTACTGTATAAATAATTAGTAGGTGATATACTAACTTCTCTTTGGTTTCAGGATTTCATCATGAGCTGACATTAGTTACAGAACCATTGGAAAACCTGGGGGTACTGGATAGCTGTTTCGTCCTAGTTTGGGGCTCTTCATCAGTACGCACCCACCTACCTACCTGGGGTTCTAGTGAGAGATCGTGACTAGTAGGGTGCGGCAGGTCGGGTGTGAGGACAAATACTCGCCGAAGACTCTGGCTACGGGTCGCACTATGTCGTGAATTGGCAGAAGTTAGAATTCATGGGCCATTGGATCGGGTCTCAGTAGCCCAATGGTCTACGAGCTCGCCTTGTGACCAGAAAGTCCTGGGTTCGAACCCCTATGAGTGCGCACTGCTGAATTCGTCCCAAACTAGGACGAAACAGCTATCCATTACTCCCAGGTTTTCCAAGGGTTCTCTAACTAATGTCAGCTCATGATGAAATTCTGTAAACTTCAGTATTAAGTTGCACAAAATAAGTAAAACTATTTCAGTCCTGTTTCTTGGAGTATGTAACCATCCTTTCATATTTATTTGTCTGATAGATACATGAAAACTAAGTGAACAAATGAAAATAGCTTATATATATATATATATATATATACTGTTGTATGCTACATGCCACGTTGCGGTAACAATAAAGTTATGGAAATGATAGTAAAAAACTGACTTAACCGAAATGACAACACTCCGACATCTTAAAGCCTCAACCACTGGCATAAAAAAAGAATCAAAACCAACTAACATGTCATTTGAGCAATAATTGCTGCTAATAAGTGCTTTGAAAACCACTATGAATCTTTGATAGACCACGATACTACACACTTTATCATAAAATAAACAAGAAATACTGTTCGGGGAAAAATTTATACAGAGTTAATACATTTTAAACTAACAAAGAGTTTGGTATTTACAAACTCTTCAAGAAGAACCGTGATTTACTTAAATGACAACTCACCATTTGAAGAACTACAACAACCAAGCAGTGTTGTTATATTAAGTCCAGTATACGGAAATCCATCGACATATTTCTGGAGAAGTTGAAGAACAGAGCACCAATAATGGAACATCTTGGACACATTCATTCCCAAATCACTAGCATCTGTGTGAGACTGTAGTATGCTTCGAAGATTTTGTGGAAAATCTAAAGATACCATATAAGGTTTGTGTACCTGTTGTATAAGTTTACAGTTTGTTTAAATCTACCTGAAGTTGTTCGAACTGCAGTTGTGTTGACTCTTCTTGACCTAACACTGATGAGAAGAATTCATCCAAAACTGGAATGTTTTCTCCTAATGTCGGCGAGTTGGGAAGTGTTTTATCTTTATTACTTTCACTTGACACAGACCTATGACAAGATCTACGCAATTTATTTCCTTTCCAAATACCTGGAACTTTATCCCAGTTGATATCATCACCACTTAGCGCTGCAGTTTCTAGAATCATATCAATGCGTTGTTTACGCCGAATTCTTCCACGCACCTTATGAAAAAATTATAATAAAACTACAAAAGTTACATTTTGAGCAACTTCGTCAATCTTCCTTTTTAGCATTCTGTTAAACTCATTATTTTCAAGGAGTAAATCTTCTCCAACTTCGCGATCCCATTTGCACTTCCAACCATGGAAATGGACAGTATAGTGTGGAATATCTGTAGGTCCTTCAGGGACCTGTTTTAATATCTAAACAAGTTAAGATCTATTTAATTTGAATATTACCTTGGCAAAGTAAATTAGCTTGGCCTTAGAACTGTCAGGCTCGAAACACAAAAGCTTTTGGCCAATTTCATAGCGATGTTGATGCTGATGCATTGCACGGGTAGTTTGACATAGAAATCGGATAGGTAACTTTTAAAATAAAGTAACAGTATTTTAGCACATCATATGAAAAAGAATAAAAGTTTCTTCAATTATCAAATCAAGGAAAATCTTTCAAACCAAGTTTCACTCTCAGTGAGTATAATGACAACTTTTTATTCGTTTTCGTTCCCAGTGGGACATATGATTTCAAACTAGAGCTTCGAAGTTACAGTAGCAGTGGTGTCTTTTACAGGACGACGTTGCTAGCCCCACGCCCAACCTTTCCACTTTACCGGGCTTATCACCGACTAAGAGACGTAAAGGTATGCGTTGGCTGGGGTCGAACCCCGGACCATTTGCGCAGTTGGCCAGTGTTCTGTCACCAAGCCACCGACGCTATAATGACAACTACGGAGACCCATTTACATCCAGCTGATAAGTCTGAAAAAAGAGGCACATTGAGAATATTCTGAATAACCACCACTAAATGTTTGAAGAACTTGCAATGAACTAGTGGCAAACTGACATTCATATTTACATTTGACAATTGACGTTAGCAGAAAAGTGTAGTTTGCTGTGGAATTTAAACTAAAAGCCTCTAGGTCAACCAATCGACTGCATATAAACTTCAGCGGAAATACAAAACTAATTTTTAGAACAAAATCATAAAAGAATAACGCACAGCCTTTTACAGGAGTGCAAAATTCCAGCTGTCACTTCGTAAGGGCACAAGAGGATAGGACAATGTTAAAATCAAAAAACCAACACTAGAATGCCTGTAAATTTGAAAATGATCTGAATAAAATGCATCTTAATTTGACTAACTTTTAGTTCCGTTATTTATTTCTAGTAGCTTTTGTTGTGAACTTTTCTTATAATACGTATCTAATCATATTCATATCTCTACCGCTATTAACACTCTTTTTTCCTTTATATGTTTAAGCCATTCCGGCTTCATTGTAAAATGAATAAAGCCTAAATTCTTGGTTCATTCGTCTTTTCAAGATTCAAGCATCACTCATCGTTCTAAGACTCAATCACCTTCGTAACAATTTATTCATTTTACAATATTCATGGAACGATTTTTCCGACCTGATCGGTTCGACGTAGAACCTAACGCAGTTGGAGCTGCCAAGAAGTGGGATCACTGGTTTGCGACTTTTTCCTACTTCATTGAATCAATGGGATCCGAAAATCCTTCGAAACTACATATTCTCTTCAATCATATTTCTACTTCTGTATACGAATGCATTTCTGAATGCAAAACATACGAAGAAGCTATCGACACTCTCAAGAGTCTCTACATGCAGCCTTGCAACGAAGTGTTTGCTCGACACTTGTTAGCAACGTGTAAACAAGAATCTGGCGAAAATCTGGATCAGTTTGTTCGTCGACTCAAGTCGCTGACTACAGATTGTTCATTCAGGGCAGTTACAGCCGAAGAACATCGTAACGAATCTCTACGTGATTCATTCATCTCAGGTATACAGTCTTCGATGATACGCCAGAGGCTATTAGAACAGCGTACTTTAACTTTTCAAGCGGCATACGATCAAGCACGAGCTCTAGAGATGGCACATCAACAATCGCAGTCATACAACAATCCTGTTACACCTTGCGCGTCCATTTCTTTACATGATGTACCTCATTCATCAGATTCCACACCCTCCGTCAATGAAACAACCATTGCTGCCGTTGAATCCAAATGCTTTTTCTGTGGTAATCGTAGACATCCTCGTTCCAAATGCCCCGCCCGTGATGCAGTTTGCAAAGCTTGTGGCAAGCAAGGACATTTTCAGAAGGTTTGCAGGTCTGCGCCATCTACGAAAAAAGGTCCATCTTCAGTTAACTCTATAATTTCATCTCTCGTTGTGGCTTCAGCACCTCAAAGTCTCACTGATGCTGTTACGCAGCTTACTGTCAATGGGAAATCAATGCAAGCTCTAGTGGATACCGGAAGCAGTGAGAGCTACATCTCTTCCTCAGTTGTTCGTAAGTATAACTGGAAAGTCCATAAGTCTCGAAACAGAATCACAATGGCGAGTACGAATCTTACTAGTCATACTGAAGGACATTGTTTTCTATCCATCTGCTATAAAAACCACACTTATGATCTATTCAAATTTTCCATTCTTCATAATTTATGTGCAGACGTCCTTCTTGGACATGATTTTTTAAAACTTCACAAACACATTGAGATTCCTTTTGGGGGATCAAAGCCGCCTTTTTCTCTCTGTGGTCTACCTTGTGTTCGCGTCGACCTGCCTACTCTGTTTGAAAATCTTTCAAAAGACTGTAAACCGATCGCGATAAAATCCCGGCGTTATTCTCGTGAAGATGAAAGTTTTATTTCCACCGAAGTCAACCGGTTACTGCAAGAAGGTGTTATTGAACCTTCTAATTCTCCTTGGCGAGCTCAAGTTCTTGTTACGTCAAACGAACGCCATAAAAAGAGGATGGTAGTTGATTATAGTCAGACAATCAATCGATTCACTTTTCTGGATGCTTACCCATTACCTAGGATTGACGAAATGATAGAAAAAATCGCACAATATGACATATTCAGCACTCTTGATCTGAAGAATGCTTATCATCAAATTGCCCTAAGGAACGAAGATAAACCATATACTGCTTTCGAGGCTTGTGGGAAACTTTACCAATTTTGCCGAATTCCTTTTGGTGTTACCAATGGCGTAGCTTGTTTTCAACGCATTATCGATGAATTGATCAGTAAAGAACAACTCACAAGCACGTTTGCCTACATTGACAATGTCACTATCTGCGGCAAAACTCAGGAGGAACACGACAAAAATCTAAACAAGTTTATGGTAGCAGCACGCAATTATGGAATAACCCTTAATGATTCCAAAAGTGTGATCTCAAGCAGAAGCATACAATTACTCGGTTATGAAGTTTCAAAGGGGGTTATCAAACCAGATCCCGATCGGCTAAAACCTCTTCGTGATCTAGAACCACCCACAGATATCAAATCTCAACAACGGGCCGTTGGATTATTTGCTTATTATTCACAGTGGATCCCTCGCTTCTCAGATAAAATCCACCCATTGGTAAATAATCGGATTTTCCCTCTTGATATCGAAACTCGAAATGCTTTTGACAAACTGAAAGACGACTTAGAACGTGCAGTCGTTGTGGTAGTTGATCCGAAAGCACCCCTTGTTGTTGAAACAGATGCTTCAGATGTCTCAATTGCAGCTACATTAAACCAGAATGGTAAACCTGTCGCCTTCTTTTCTCGAAGCCTCTCTCGAAGTGAGAAACATCATTCATCGGTTGAGAAAGAAGCCTATGCCGTGGTTGAAGCAATTCGTAAGTGGAAGCATTACCTTCTCGGAAATCACTTCAAACTTGTCACTGATCAACGTTCAGTAGCATTCATGTTTGACAAGATTCATAAAGGCAAAATCAAGAACGATAAAATAATGCGTTGGAGAATTGAGCTATCCCCTTATCAATATGACATCATTTATCGTCCTGGAAGGGATAATCAAGCTGCTGATACATTTTCCCGTAGTTTCTGCGGTTCCTTGCAGTCAGTGTGCGACTTGAAATTTCTCCATGACTCTATGTGCCATCCTGGAGTTGTCCGAATGATGCATTTTGTACGCTCGAGAAACCTTCCATTCTCCCTTGACGAGGTGCGCAATGTAACCAGTAAATGCGTGACATGCTGTGAGTTAAAGCCTCAATTTTACAATCCCTCTAATTTCAAACTCATAAAAGCAACCCAACCTTTTGAAAGGTTAAGCATCGACTTTAAAGGACCTCTACCGTCAGCTAGCCGCAATCACTATCTGCTCACGCTGATCGATGAATATTCTCGATTCCCCTTTGCATTCGCCTGCCCCGACATGTCGTCTCAAACGGTAATGAATTGCCTTTGCCAACTGTTTTCGATTTTCGGTATGCCTTCTTACATACATACCGACAGAGGCGCTGCTTTCATGTCTACCGAATTACGGGCATTTCTTCTGGAGAAAGGCGTAGCAACCAGTCGTACTACCTCATACAATCCTCAAGCCAATGGGCAGGTCGAGCGCCTCAATGGAACACTTTGGCGTGCCATCACTCTAGCATTAAGATCACGGGGCCTACCAACGGCACAATGGGAGTCTGTTCTACTCGACGCCTTGCATTCCATCAGATCTTTGCTCTGTACTGCAACGAACGCCACGCCACACGAACGACTGTTTACCTATAACCGAAGATCGACATCTGGGACAACTCTTCCTACTTGGCTCACTGTACCAGGACCAGTACTTCTCCGGCGGAGTGTTCGTCAGTCCAAATTCGATCCCCTGGTTGAAGAGGTGGAGCTATTGAATTGTAACCCGCAATTCGCTCACGTTCGCTTCGGTAATGGACGTGAAGATACAGTTGCTCTTCATCATCTGGCACCCAAAGGCGAAGATATAGATCAAGTTGAAAATTCAATACCGGAGGGCGACGCAATTCCTGAGCAACAAGTAAATGGGGATGCGACCACTGATCCTAATATTCTTCGTGAAGAAAATACAACTGAAACGAACAACGGGCGTATTCTTTTGGAAAAACAACAACGTGTACGGCCTTACAATTTGCGTACCAGAGAAGCGTGACATAATGGCTCATTCCTTTTCAAGCCGCAGTGAATGTTGTGAACTTTTCTTATAATACGTATCTAGTCATATTCATATCTCTACCGCTATTAACACTCTTTTTTCCTTTATATGTTTAAGCCATTCCGGCTTCATTGTAAAATGAATAAAGCCTAAATTCTTGGTTCATTCGTCTTTTCAAGATTCAAGCATCACTCATCGTTCTAAGACTCAGTCACCTTTGTAACAGCTTTATTTACCCAAACAAAAGTCTATAGAACTTTGCACAACTTACACCAAAGGCCATACACTAGTGCTGTCATGATCTGAAAAGCTTCGACGCTAACTGCACTTAAGCTAATATGATGTAACGAGGAATGTGTGATACATGATTGAGCTGATATGGATTCACAATTCCCCCTCCCTGAAAATCTGTTTCTTCGAGTCTAGCCTCCACATAATTTATTATAAGGTGGCATCATACTTGAACAATGTCCCATGGGTACTGGAGATTACAGACCTTTGGTCCACTGACTGGCTTGTTAACCAGTAGCCATATACAACTACAGATTGGCACAATAGACTGCTGCGCAGCGATTTTTCCTTTAGTAAATATCCCAACATATTGATAGTGCAAAAAATGATGCGGGTTACAGGACTGAGAACGAACTTTTTTGTGCCCAAACTCCACTACCAATGAATGGATGATCGGAATACCCCAAAAATAAAGTGAGAGATAATGATTAAGATTACAAAAAGCACAGATACGATCTCCGTCTGGCTGCCCAAACTCTATTTCAAAAGTAACCCAAAACACTTCTGAGTAATTCACCTTATGAATTTCAACACCGAAGTCAACCATTAAGAAGGCGTTGTAATTAATTTAGAAGTTATTGATGGTCAAACTTCGTAATATCCTAATCAAATCTCAGTTCGGCATATCGAGATTATGGAAAGGAGACAAAAGACAAATAATTCACCACTGGTGAAAGCAAAAAACAATGAAGTCCAACTAAGCAATAGTCTAACAAACCGCTAAATTACTGCTCTAAAAAAAACAGTATTTACAGAATTCTTTACTACTATTGTAAAAGTGCTATTAAGGAAAATTTAAAACCAAGGAAGTAAGCAGTATGTATTGTTGACTATTTACTGATTTTATTGCTAGATTATTGCTTAGATGATATTTATTGTTTCTTATTTTCATATCAAAAAAGTGAAAATTGTGTAGAGACTTGGTTTAGCTGCCTAAACAGTTAATTATCAGCCGATTAATCCCGCTCCACTTACTTCGGACGAAGTGGGTAGTGTCCTTGGCCTACACACGATAGAGTTGGTTCATAGTCCCGTAAGTGAGAAACCTGATCGAAACTGTAGAAACTTCGAGAAACTTGGTTGTCACACTGACTTCACACAATGGTAGTAAAGTTACTGACAATTAAAGTATTGATAGTTGGTTGTGTTACGAAATTATCCACCTTTTGTGATAAGAGGCATTTTCGAAATTGCAGTTACGAGTTTTGTTGCATATGGTCATGGTTTTCCCTGGTCCCAACATATGTATTTCGTTAAGTAGGAAGTAAACGACATCCTATAGCATCCTATATGGTAATGCAGGAACTAAAGTTATTTACACAGCTGTGATCTTAAATGCTATATAGTGGAAGTCTCTAAGTAGTTAAAGAGTGGATAACACTGACTCAGTGCATAGGTTACACACGTTTGACTGGGAGATCTGTTTAATTCTATATTTATATATTGAAAACATACGATGCATTCATGCAAAGATGTCACAAAGTACTAAAAAAGTACTGGGTTAAATTCCTGCAGCTGTTACGTACATTTAGGTAGTCAACCAAGGCCATTTTACACGTCTCAGGATGGCGGTGTTTCTCTTTATATATAGTAACATTCGTAAGAGCTCTATGTGCGGTATTACATTATTTTGAACATGTACCCAAAAAACTTTTTAAAATTCTAGAAATTAATCAAGGAACACCTCAATTTATGGTGTGCCCAGAGACAATATAGGGAGGCCCGTACTATTTTAGCAGTCAACTAATGCCAACATCATTGTGGACACAACGAAAACAGATATATGCAACACGGTTTTACTTGATCACATTGTTAGTACTCAAGAAACTTGTGCTTTACCGAAAATATTACTCTGCATTGTTTTAAGATAAATGCTATGGTAGATGAGGAGTGTCTGAATAACGAATCCAAGAGTTTTAGTTTAAAAAAGTGAGCCTTTTCGAACAGACTGGGCTTAAGTACAACTAAAAAGCAGATAGCGACTTTTCAGTTGATTCACCAGATTCATGATGAACAACAAATAATGGCGAAATAGCTGAAATCACTACACAAACCCTCCTCACCTCCAAAACTGTAACGGTTATTTTAAAGTAAGCGGTTCAATATCCAATATCCAGATTACAAGCTAGTATAAACCAGTGATTTCTTTGAGGTCTCTTCTTGGTCGTGAGGTAGAGGTTCCAGATCTTCGGTGAGCTTCTGCGTAGTAAGTCCCGCCACTCGACTGCTTTAGCTCTGGTAGACTCCAAGAGGAGTGGTGCGGGGATTGGTCAAGATTTTATCTATTTTATTTTTGATTCACAGCTTGATTCCACACTGTATTTTTGGTACAAGTAAGTAATTTTCAGCAAGGATATCGGTAGCCCAAATTTTGCAGGCCGACCATAGATATCAGGTGTGCGCCGGCGTGGGCTCGAACCCCGGACCATGCGCATGGTCGGCGAGAGTCCTAACCACTGTGCCATCGACGCACAAAGTCGGGCTCAGCCGGGAGATGTGGTTTGTAGTATGCAGTATGTTGGGACTGTATTGCTGCCGTGAATGGAGTTTGACCTAACTCCCGTTGATCATTCGGTGTAGTCATAAAAGCAGAATAATAATAGGTTGTAGTGTAGATAATATAGGTTGAGATAAGTGGAATAATAAAGGTGACCTAAGGAAAAGATATTATTGTTTATTATTGTATCCTTTAGTTCCTAGAGGAACATAGGGCTTCAGCTGCGCACCTCCATTGCCTTCGGTTTTCTGACAACTTTTTCACCCCGCTCCAAGTCTGCCCACAAGCTTTCACTTCCTCTTCATGTGACCTCCTCCAAGTCACCCTTGCAATGGCGACCGACTCGCCGCTTCCCTTTCGGGTTCCACTCGAGGGCTTGTCTAGTGATGTCACTTGATGGTTTCCTCAGCGTATGGCCAATCCATCTCCATTTCTTCCTGACTATTTGTTTCACAATCGGTTCCTGATTGGTTCGCTCCCAGAGATTCCTGTTGCTGATCTTTTCTGGCCATCTGATCTTGAGTATTGAGCGAAGACAGCTGTTAATGAAGGTTTGAAGTTTGTTTGAGATGCTCTTTATGACTCGCCAAGTCTCTGATCCGTATAGTAGCACTGACTTTACATTGGAGTTGAAAATCCGGATCTTATTTTTGATGCTGAGTGCTGCTGACCTCCACACAGATTTGAGAGTAATGAAAACTTGTCTTGCTTTTCCGATTCTGGCTTTGATATCCTCGTCAGTTCCGCCTGTAGTTGAGACGATGCTTCCCAGGTAGGTGAAGGAGGTTGTTTCTTTCAGGTTCTTCCCACTTATGCTGATTGTTGTCTGCTGTTGCTGTTGATGTTGGCTAGGAATCTTCATCACCTCTGTTTTATCTATGTTCACTTGAAGTCCTATCTTTGATGCTTCTTCTGCCAACTTGTTACTTTTCACTTGCATATCTTCCAGTTTGTGGGAAAACAGATATACATCATCATCGGCGAAGTCCAGATCCTCCAAGTTCTTGTTTTGTGTGAGTCCATTTTATGCCTGTTCCCTCGTTGATTGCCGTTGTCTGTCGCATTATCCAATCAATTGCCTCACTCCCGTCCTCACTTCGAAGGCTTCCGTAAGTTTCCCGTTGTGGATTACTTGGCATGAAGCATTGTCATATAACTGTTGGATGAGATGTATAATTGTCGATGAGACCCCGTAGTAGCGAAGTAGTTGCCAAATGACCTCTCGATCGACGCTGTCGAAGGCCTTTCCAAAGTCGATGAAGTTGAGATAGAGAGGTGACTGCCATTCCAAGCTTTGTTCAATGATGATCCGTAGAGTGGCGATTTGATCAATACATGATTTGTTTCTCCTGAATCCGGCCTGTTCCGGACGAAGTTTTTCATCTAGGGCTTGTTTGATTCTCTCCAGGATGATGCGGCTTAGTATCTTGCTTGGAATGGACAGAAGCATAATTCCACGCCAGTTTTTACATTGACTTAAGTCTCCTTTCTTTGGAAGTTTGAATAAGTATCCGTTCTTCCAATCCTCGGGTACTTTGCCCTCTTTCCACACCTTCTCCAGCAGTGGTGTCATCAAGTCCGCTGTTGTCTCTGGGTCTATTTTCAAAGCTTCTGCTGGGATTCCATCTGGTCCCGGTGTTTTCCCAGCTTTTAGCATCTTGATTGCATTCAGGACTTCTGATTTCGTTGGGGGGTCAGTGTTCACTGGTAGTTCTGCTTCCGTTGTTGGTATTGTTGGGCGCGTTGTAGGTGGCGGACGATTTAGAAGTCTTTTGAAGTGTTCAGCCCAGTGCTTTCTCTGTTCCACCTCTTTGGTGATTGACTTTCCATTGTCGTCCTTTATTGGCTTAATCTGTGTCGAACGTTTGCCCGAAAGGTTCCTAGTTGTTTGGTAGAGTGTGGCGAGGTCTCCTTTGCCTGCAGCTTGTTCTGCTTCGTTTGCCATGGTTTCATAATATTTTCTTTTGTCTTCCCTGGCACTCTTCTTCACTCTTTTGTTCAGTGTATTGTAGCTTGCATTCAGCTCCTGTTTTTGTTGCTCGTCAGTGCACTGGATAATCTTTTGCTTCACTGTCCTTCTCTCTTCTATTAGTTTCCAAGTGTCCGTAGTGAGCCACTGTTTGTCCTGTCTCTTTTTTGGCCTAGAATTTCTATGCAGGTTTGGCTCCACACCGTTTTCAAGTTGTTCCAGTGCTTTTCGACGCTGACCTTTTCGCTGGTGTTGATTTGTGTCTCGGCTTTGTCCTTTATGCTTGCAATGAAGATGTCCTTTGTAGCCTGGTCCTTCAGCTTTTGAGTGTTGAACTTGGCTTGTGGTCTATCTGCAGCTCCTCCTTCTCTGAAAGCTTTTAATTTGATTTGGATTGTCCCTTGTACGAGATAGTGGTCTGAGCCAACGTCTGCTCCTCTTCTTGCTTTTGTGTCCAGTAGGCTGCGCCTCCACTTCCTTGAGATTGAGATGAAGTCGATTTGGTTTTTGGTTTGCCCGTCTGGTGACACCCATGTAGCCTTGTGGATATCTTTGTGCTTGTATACACTGCCACCAATCACTAGTTCGTTGAAGGCGCAGAAGTCGGAGAAGAGTTCTCCATTTTCATTCATTTCTCCGAGAGCTTCTCTACCCATGATGAGTTCCCTTCCTGAGTTGTCTGGTCCCAGTTTGGCGTTCATGTCTCCCATTAGTATTTTCATGTCGCCAGCTGGAGTATTGTCCATTGTTGCCTGTAGTTGTCTGCAGAATTCTTCTTTCTTTTCGAGGTCTGCGTTGTTTGTGGGTGCATAACATTGTATGATTGACACTTTCCTTCCTTTGGAGTTGAATCTGGCGGTCATTATCCTGGAGGAGATCGCCTCCCATTGTATCAGGGCTTTCGTTGCCGTTGGTGACATCATGATAGCCACGCCCTCGGCGTGCGTGTGGTTATCTTCTGGGTGACCGGAGTAGATCACTGACTCACCCGTTGACAATTTGGTGAGTCCACTCCCATTCCATCTGCTTTCACATATTCGCAGCACTTGTATTCCGTATCTTTTCATCTCGTTGGCCATCTGGGCAGCTCTCCCAGTCTCGTACATAGTTCGGACGTTCCATGTCCCCACAAAGACTTTTTCTTTTGGTGCTAAGAGGTTCATTCTGCTAAAGTTTCTTTAGCAATTTTGTTTACAGGGTGGGGTTGCTAGCCTCACGCCTGAGAAAGAATGATTACATTAAGTTAAAGTTTAGAGAGAAGCAACTTTTTGGGTTGCTCCCCTCAAAATCGGAAAATAACGGACAAACAATGAGAACAACATCAACAAAGGAAACAGTTCACAGAAAAAAGGGCAAAAAGCGACAACAACTATACAATAAAACAACATGCAATATATTTCAGCACGGTTAACTGAAAAGATATCTCAACCATAAACTCACTGACTTGGAGCAACTTGAACATGTAAATCCAACAATATATACAATTATAGATGTGTTTATGTTTAAAAATTCCACAAATCCAAATAGTTAGTTATATGTATTATCTGTCAATAAGATTGTATTCTTGGATTCAGTGTTCGAAAGGTAAATAATTGTGATAGTTTCCACAAACTCTTGGCATAAAAGTTTACAGAAACGAGAGTTTTTATTAATAAGCAAAATGTAACGCAGTAGTCGAAAAGCGCGCGACCACGTATCCAAGGAAAAGATATAGTAGTCGATACAGTGAGAGAAGGCAGAACAGGTCGTGGGGATTTAGTTTGTACAGCGTGGTTTTAAGTTTTATGAGGATAAGCCTCTGAGACACAAACCTTGCATTTCTGCATGATTGTCTAGCTTCCGATTAAAAATCTCCAGAGATGGCGCTGTAGTCACGGCCACTGGTAAAGCGTTCCAGAGACGGCAAACACGAAGCGAAAAGAAATGTGATTGCACTCGAGTCTTTGGTCTCTGGTGTGTTATCCTTAGCGGGTTACCTCGTGGAAGCCCATAGTCACTTAATGGCAGGATGCTTTTATTTGGGTGGGCCTGGTCATTTGAGATCTTGTAGAAGGTGATGAAGTCTCCCCTGTGCCTACGGTAACTTATTGCGAAAAGATTTAATTTCTTCAGTCTTTCCTCGTATGATTTGTTGCGGAGGCCGATCACCCATTTTGTCGCTCGTCTCTGGACACTTTCTAGAATGTTAGCATCCCTTTTGAGTAGCGGAGGTGCAATGGTATTATGCACCTCAAGGTGTGGCCTCACATATGTCTTATATAACCTTAAGAACAGTTCGGGAGTAAGAGCTCCCAGCTGCCTATGCATATAGTGTAAAGTTGCGTAGGCTTTGGCGACGTAATTTCCACTGGTGTCTAGCTTTTCTGTCAGAATAAGACCTAGATCGCGCTCTGATGAAACACAACTCAAGTTCTGGCCACCAAGGGTGTAATTTACACTCTGCAGGAATGAAGTTGCACTACTTTGCACTTCTTTAGGTTGAAAGGCATTCCGTTAGCCAGAGCCCAGTTTCCCAAAGTTTGCAGGTCAGCCTGCAATCTGTCTGAGTCTCCTGATAAGTTTATTGCTCTCCAAATCTTTACG